CATAAATTGTGAATGAAGATGGAAACAATGATAAGGCTTATTCAGTGATTGGATACAGTCCTGTAGCTTTTTGGCTGACACATTTTTTATTGTTTATATTTTGTTTGGCATCTAAGTGTGATTGACTTAGATATGGATATTTTCAGCAAGTAAACGTGAGCTGCAGTGGAGCAGGGCTGGAAGAGAGTACTGTTGAGATACTTCTTCAAAAGAGAAATCAATGCACGTAGGAAGTGTTTTGTGTAATAGATATGCACGTGCTTGTAGGTACACATATAGAAATAATTACTTATGGTGGAATCTGCAATTAGTAAAAATTAATTCTGTGTGGGTTGTCCATCTTGTGAAATTATTGACAGGCAATAAGACCTCTGCACCAGATTATAAACCTGAGAGTACAACTTAAGAAACCAGTTTTTACATTGGAAACACACAAATTTTCACTACCACCTCTACTACAGCGGGTAGTTAATTTTGTTGTTTCCTGCTATAATGACATTTTTTTCCATATGTTTGCTTTTGGGCTCACAGATGTAAAAGATTTCCTAATTCTTTACAAATCTGTATTAAAAGGTACTCAGGTGTACACAAAACCACAACATTGTCCTTCTACAGCCACAAATACGAGAAAGCAATTCCTGGCTTTTGCGCGTTGATAACTTCTCCGTAATATTTTACAATCACGCTCTATCATGTGCCATGCAGAGACAGTTCCCATTTAGTGGTACATACATGGAACACAGTTGGAGCAAGTTGATTTTAATTTGTAATCCTTCTCTACCTATTTGGAATGATAAAGGCATTTAAAAAATCATCTTTCCTCTCCATAAATTAAAAATTAAGATTACACTGGCAATGAGAATTTACACTTTGTGTTATTTATTTAGTTAAAGCAAAAGATTGATTAATCTTATTTTGAGTTGCGACTAAGTTAAAGTAGTACTACCAAAATTGTTCTCTCTATTGTGTTCTCTGTCTCTAGGGCTCATGCAGTGCGCGTTGGGTATGGTAGTGTATGCTCAGAAGAAAATATTTTGGTAGAAGTTCTAAACACAGAACACCTGTTTGGACCGAGCTCCTTGTGAAAGCAGTAGTTCAGTTTCAGTGGAGACAGTGCTGAAGCACCTTTTAGAAACAAGTCTAAAATCCAAAGTACAGCTTTAAGACAAACCTTCGCAATTCAAATGTTACCCATCACTCTTTCAATAAAAGTTTGGTGGGTGTAAAATCACTCCAAGGAAGAATGAAGACTTACTAAGCGCGATTTAATTTTTTGGGAGGGGGTCCTTTCCTCTCCTTCCCATGTGTCTTTTTCTCCCTGTTTTGGAATGAGTGTAAACTGCATTTATCTCTTTTGCTGAGGCATGATAGGATGCAGTTACCGCGTGCCTTTAAGTGCTTGGTCTCTTGTGGTATTTTTGCTGTGTTTTATTTTATGTTATGGTGGTCCAGGAAACTCAGAATATGTTGTCATTTTCTTTTCCACATAGAATATGTTGTTTCATTAGACACAGAGAAAATCCATGCAGGGAAATTGAGTACATGAAGTTTTCTCTATAAAATTTCTAGACTTCTGCCTGGAATATTTATTGTATGGTCTTCAGTTGAAACTTGTATGAATTGATACAAAGTTTATAAGAGTAGAACATAAGAGAAAGGTGCTGCATTTCCCCTTTACCTTTTTCAAAAAGAAAACCTGGCCTATCTATCATCATTAGATGACTTGTATTTTTTTCGTTTATTTACAAGCTACATAGATATTATATAGTGACTTCCATTTTAACTTAAATTGCCAGTGCACAACGGTTCACCTGAGTCATTTGATATGACATTTGAAAATCTTACCTCCATAAATCACTTTATTGCAAGAGCAACTGTGGCACATGGGTAAGTGCCACATAAAAAAAATTATTTCAATATTGCCTGTATGAATATTAAGGGGGAAAGAACCCAAATTCCGTAGATGGCTTTTTAGGAGGTTTAGTGGAGAACGTGTGTGATTAATTGCATATCTCCATTTAGGATCATTTTTATGGGCACTTCTTCTTGTCAAGTAATGTTTCATTTGAAAGGACTCCAGATGCGCAATGAATCTCTCAAAGATATCTGATAATATTGCTTTAGAACAGAATGTTCTTTGCTGTATTTCTCCTTCACAC